ATTATTAATCATTAATAATCCATGAAAATCACATTTAACAACTTTAGGTAATCTTACGAAATTAACTCACTAATTATAAACAATATAGTCAGTCATCCTCACCTTATGATGTGCTCGACTAGCTGCCCTAGCAAAGCCCCTCGATCCGTCCTCGTTCTAGGCCGATCGGAGATGAAAAATCTGGACAGCAGGTGAAAGCCGGGCGGCTTTCACGAAAGCCGGGCGGCTTTCGGGCTCTGCTACACGAGACAGCCTCTTTTACTTGGCGGTTTCCGGCGATTTCAACTCCTATCGATTCAACGATTCTTCTAGGTTAAATACCAACACTTTATATCATTTTTCTACACATTTAAACGTGTAGAACATCCCCTAGAATCCATTATATGATTTCTATAAAATCATATATGAAAAATACATTAAACGCAAGAACAAGAACCGGGGCTATGAAATTCTTACCGCTAGGCTTTGTTTTCTAACGGATTCGCTTCTCTTCTTGGCCTCCCTTTCTCCCTGAGATCTAGCTTGGTATGGAGCTCTTCAATCTCCCGTATAGCCTCTCAAATGAGAGGATAAGAGACCCTCCTTCCCTTATCTTTCTATTTTTAGAAAGTTGGGCCAATTTAGTTGGGTCGGGTTCGCGGGCTGCTCTTTTTAATTTACTCAGACCCAAATGAATTTTATTCGTTTACTTATATTATTTTTGGCTAGTAGACCTCAAAAGATCGATCCTAAAATGTGTTGGATATCCCTCTCCAATGTTACGGGCTTAAACCCCTTTACCTTTCTATTATTAGAAAGTGGCTCGAAAAGTCTCTTTATTTTATTCCTTCACCTTTTTCCCGGCCCAAACATTCGTATATAACTTATTTCCTTATCCTTGGGCTTTTAACTAATTTTAACGTGGTCCAAGAATATACTAGTTAGTCCCTTCCCGTTTTCTTTAGGGCCCGACACACAATATAATTAATCGGTATTAATTTAATCAATTAATCATTTCTCATATGATTAATATTTTTGTAACTAGTTTTCAAAATGAATAAATATTCACGAACTCGACTAGTCATCCTCATCGACATTGGTATTTGTAGTTTCTATTAAATTTTAACATTAATGGATAAATTAATCCCAGTTCAAATTGGAAGCGGTGTCACATCCACTCCCAGGTCTGACAAGACCTTGATAGGGTGAGCCTGGAAGTAGTGGGCAAGTTTCTTTGATGCAACGTATACTGTGAGGGTGGTTTTCTCCAGGGCTGGATATATGAGCTCAGCCCCATGGAGAACCTTGTTGTTGTAGTAGATCGACTTTTGCACGATCCCTTCTTCTCGCACCAAAACAGAGCTGACTGCACCCTGGGTCACTCCCAAATACATAATGTGTTTCTCACCGACCTTAGGTTTGCTGAGCAGCATATCTGACTGTAAATACTTTTTGAGGTCTTCAAACGCGGCCTGGCACTCTTGGGTCCATTGAAACTCGTTGCTCTTCTTCAAGATTTAGAAAAACGGTAAGGATTTGTCAGCTGACCTCGATAGGAATCTCCCAAGGGCTGCCACCCTCCATGTGAGGATTTTGACGTCTTTGACGTTCCTTGGGGGCTCTATATCAAAATTTGCCTTAACCTTTTATGGGTTAGGTTCAATTCATCTGTGGGTTACCATGAACCCCATAAAATTTCTGCCTGGAACCGCGAAAGTGCACGTCTTAGGATTGAGTCGTAGATTTACCTTCTTCATGATGCCAAATACCTCCGAGAGGTCATCTGCATGATCGACTGCCTTTTGACTCTTCATGATCATGTCATCAATGCAGGCCTCCATGTTCCTTCCTAGCACTGCTCAGAAGACCTTGGCCACCATCCTGATGTAAGTGGCCCCAGAGTTTCTGAGCCCGAATGCCATCACTAAGTAAGAAAACACTCCCTCAAGCGTAATGAATGAGGTCTTTTCAGCGTCCTCAGGGTGCATGGAGATCTGATGATATCTGTGTGAATTATGCCCAGATTTCAACAGTCGAATAATCTAATAATAATAGAAAGAATTAAAACAGTAGAAGAGAAATTTCACCAATAACGTATACCGTGTATATAGAATGATGAATCCATGAAGAACAATTACACAGTATTCGAACAAGCTAAAGAGAGAATTTCTAATCTACGTGCTCTACCAGAATAATATGTAGAATGGATTGTGTAGAGACTTTCTAGAGTGAGAGCTTCAAGAATGATATGGCTATTCTAATTGTGAAACCCTCCAATATTTCGGCTATCTCGGCCTATATTTATAGGTGAGAGACTCGAACTGTCTAATACAATTAGGAAGCAACTAGACATGCATGTGGGCTATTAGAGCACTTAATCAATTTGGCCTAATTCTCTCTCAGCTAATCTAATTAAATACAAAGACTCAATAAATAAATTACAAATATATTGAACACAATAAATAATATTCCTAACAATATCCCCTGAATGCGTCCATGAAAGACAGGAGTTCGCATCCAGCGGTCTGATCCATCAGTTCATCTATGCTAGACAGAGGGAAAGGATCTATTGGGCACGCTTTGTTGAGATCCATGTAGTCCACACACATTCTCCAGGTCGGTGGCTTAGGGGCCGAAACGACGTTGGCGAGCCACTTCGGATACTGCACTTCTCTAATATGCTCAATGCCCAATAGCATGCCTACTTCCCCTTTGACGAATTCCTTCCTGTTCAGAGATAGGTATCTTCTCTTTTGCTTCATAGAAGTTGCCTTTGGTTTGACGTTCAATCGGTGAACTGTTATGCTTGGATCGAGCCCGGGCATGTCTTCAGGTCCTCCAAGCAAAAATCACCTTGAACTCTGTCAGGACCTGGACTATCCTTGCTCTCATGTCGGTCGGAAGACCTGCACCAATTTTAACCCGCCGTTTCGGCCGGGATGGATCGACACCGACCTCCTCGAGCTCTGAGGCGGGCTGAGCTTTGAATTGCCCTTCCTCATAATTGGATAAGTCCTGCTCGATGGCGTTGACCCTTACATCATTCCTCCCAAGAGCCTTGCAAGCCCTCATGTAGCAACTCCTTGCCATCTTCTGGTCTCCTCTTACTATGCCTATTCCGGCCGGTGTGTAAAGTTTCATGCACAAATGAGCCTGGGAAATAATGACTCTCGTATCCTCCAGTAAAGGTCGACCCAGGATAACATTGTGCATGCTTGGCAACTGAACAACGACAAAATCGCTTCAATCACTCGTACGCATGGCTCTGATCCGAGTTGGATCTTGAGGGTAATCACCCCCTCGGGCTTAATCGTGTCCCCGGTAAAACCTGAGAGGGTTGTTTTTACCAGTTTCAGAGCTCCCTTCTGGAGTCCAATCTCCAAGAAAGCATCCATGTACATTATGTTGACTGACCTGTCGTTGTCCACGAGGACCCTATGAACGATTGCATCCATAACTTCCATCTTCATTACTAGAGGATCCCTATAAGGTGTGGGACACGGCGGGAGGTTGTCATCTGTGAAAACGATCGACTCCACTTTTTACTTTCTCATGCGGTGTCTCCTCCCACAGGTCCACCGTAGATCTGGTTCACATGTGGGCGTTTCTGTCGGCCTGAATCCTCCCCTTCCTCTTCATCCTCGAACTGGGCTCCGACCTCCCTCTTTTTAGAGGTGGAGGCCGGCTCGTCTTTCCCCTTGTTCCAGGTATTCTTCTTTTGAGGGGGTTGCCCCTGCCGACACTTCTTTACAAACTGATCCAGGTGCCCTTCACGGATAAGCCCTTCCACATACTTTTTCAGGACGTAGCAGTCATCAGTTACATGAGTATCGCTCTTATGGAGCTTGCAATACTTACCTCGAGTGGCCTGGTTGTTAACAATGTTACAACCCTCTGGGATTGTTATCAAACATTGCTTGGCCGCATAATTCAGGACAATGCTGACTGGATGTGTCAAAGGCGAAAATTCATACTGGTTGGACAGTGGTCCCTCGGGAACACCTGACTTGTTCTTTCCCCAGCCCTTCTTCTTCCTTTTGGACCCACTCCCCTTATCTGAATCATGAGTTTCCTTCTCTGAAGTGTTCTTCCTCCCATCTTCGAGTTGGTGTTTTCCTGCCTCCTCTTCTCTCTTCCGCTTCTCAGCCTCTTCCACCTCAGCTTGCGCGTTGGCACGGAATAAAGCTTCCTCATCAATAGTTAACAAATTTTCATTTTTTCATTATAATTTTTTTCTTGAAAATGTATGCCTACTACTGTTTTTAAATAAATAACAATTATAACGTAATAGTTTGTTAAATACTCGTACGAATGAAATATAAAATAATAATACTACGTAATAGTTATAATTGCGATATACATATACGGAAATATATACTACTTCTTCCGTCCCGCTAACAATGGGACAAGAGAAAGTTGCACGCAAATCAATAAAAAATAGTTTATGTGGTTAATATTGAATTGATAAAGTAAAAATAAAGTAAGAATGATTTAGAGCCACAGAAACTTTACCAAATTTGGTACAAGACAATTTTAGTGGAACCGACCGCTAATATAAAATGAGACAGTCGTAGCGGGACGGAGTTGGTGTGAGTTTAGGTCATGCTACGTAACCTACGTTAGATCCAAATGACCAAAAACATTAAGTGATGGGTCATGTCTTGATCTTCATCAAATATGGAGCAACTTTTATTGGAAAACTAACTAGAGAGGAAACCTAATTTGGTATATATAAAAAGTGATTGTGGTGATTTTAAATGTGTTTGATTATCTAAAGAATGTTGGTGATATCATCACACAAGTAATACAAAATTCTTGACATCAGTATATTATCTTATTGGATGTATTTAAACAAATTGTCTTGAATCTTCATGTGATACCTGATTTCTTTTACATAGGTAATTATCTCAATTTATTCCTAATTTTAGGATTTATTCTCATCATTTTATTTCATAATAAAAACTATTAATAACTATTGAAGAAAATACCTTACTGCATGCAGACATGCAGTTGCACGGGTGAATTACTAGTGAGGGGGAAAGGGGAGATTACTAGCTTACAATTACTAGTTTAGTTAAATAAATAAAAACTGAGCAACACCTATACACCAATATCTAATTGTTGCGGACCTAACCAATCTCATAACCCTTAATGTGGAGGGCAAAAAATGCTCTCTCAAAGAATTATCGTATAGGATTTAGTAGTCTTCGAAATCATATTGTTCTTCATAATCATAGGTTTCAGGTTCTGCATAATTTTCCTCATTGACATATTCTCTTTCATCCATCCACTCTTCTCCGGTCTCATCTGTTATACCATCCAGGTAGCCATTGTTGTTGGAGCTTATGTCATCATTTCGGCTTTTCTTGAAATTATTGTTATCAGGGAGTGGCTGCCAGGAAAAATTAGGTCATCTATGTTATGCACATGCAAATCAAGACAAACAAAAATCAAGGTTTTCATTCATTCCTAAATGGGTGATACAAGTTGCAGGAAAAATAACACTGAAATTTCTTTAGCCCACAGACATGCATGCAAGACATAGATATCAGAAGGTTATAGAACCCATTACTCTGAACCTCGGGCCTGGTTTCTGGACCATAACTAATTAACTAAATAGATTTTTGCGATTTCTACTTTGTTTCAAATTCTGAAAACATAAGTATAAACAAGTTTTTGATTAATACAAATACATAGTAGCATTTGAAAGTAATTTGTTTTTTCTGAAACAGAACAAAAACATAAATACAGAAGAATTCTATACGGAGTAAAAAATTCAGAAAAATTAAAATCATATGCACACCATAGACTAACCGGACATGTTTATATGTTTCAAGAAATGAAAAGAAGTGAAAAACATAGATCATGAAAAATATAAAATAAATAGAATATGAAATGTTTCAAATGAACCCTGGGTACTAATTTGTAACATTAGTAGATACTGGTGTGTAGCACAGTCATGGACAGTGAGATTAGACATTGTTTACTAGAAGACATTTGCTAAAAAAGAGGTCTTATTGCAGTTATTATAGTCTGTAGCTTTTTTTGCTTCCTCTTTTTTCGGGTAGAAGTAACAAATCACCTTTTCTTTTCTAACCATGGCTTTCTAATTTTAGTACTCCCTCAAACCCATTTTGTAAGATCTGTTTCCTATTCACTTGGTCAACACAAATCACTCTTAATCTCTTACTATATTAATCAAATTTTTATCAAATTTAATTCTGGGTTTTGCGACTTTGTAATGTTTTTAATGTAGTTTCTGAACACGTAATTTTTTTTCCTAAAAATAATTTGAGTGCGGACAGGGATCCGTTAGCTTTACCGTTGGTCAAACATCGTAAACCGTAAAGTATCTTACAAAATGGGACAGAGGGAGTATTATTTTGTTACATCCCATGGAAAACTTATATACAGCAGTGGACGCATCAACGTATAGAACTGAATATTGAAAACATCATCCAAGTCACAGCCCAATAAAGAATGGATGCCAATCAAATAAGAGAAAAGCAGCAAAAACATGTAGACTTCTGGATACAAGGCAAGAATACATACAGTCTCATCGAAAAGTGATTCCAATACATCGAAGTTGACCAGTAGACTTCCCTGCACTCAAGGAACATTATGAAATAATAAAATGATATTCTATATTATACCATGCAGAGTAACAGGAAAAAACGCTTGAAAATAAAGATGTTAGAGTCAATAGCATGGTAGTATGGTACTATGTTAACATATAAGCCCATCAATATGGCCATAAATTTATTAAAGGAGCCATCGAAACACATTATAGTATATCATTCATTCTTTATTGCGCAGGAGGGCCATTGATGTACTACATATTTAGATATGCATTATTTATTTGTGCCTAAAAAAGTATTCTCATAAACCAACATGAAATACTCAAATTGAGATGTGTTGAAGTATTTCCGCCACACGATATAAAATCTTGGGCTACACGCTATTAAATTGACTTTTTAGTATGAAACTCAAGGTCTTAACATTGTACCAACTACCAAATAAGGTTTGGTTTGGTTTAACCGAACCGTACCAAACCGAACTAACCCGAACTAAAACCGAACCATTTGCAATTTGGTTTGAGTTTGGTAACATTTCTTCCAAACCGTATTAAACCAAACCGAACCGAGAAAAATGAATAAAACCAAACCGAACTAAAAATATTTAATAAAACCTTCATATATTATTAAAAAAACAAACTCATACTGAACTAAACTAAACCTAACCGAAAGTTAGTATGGTTTTTGTTTGGTAAATCATTCTTCTAATCCATTTCAAACTGAATCGAACTGAAAACCGAAAAAACCGAACCAAAAATCAATATGCCCATCCCTAGTTGTGGTTGGATTATTTTTTATCACTCATGATTATGCGTAGCTTGTTAAGGGTCTGTGGCACTTGAAGTATTTGTTCCACAAAAGTATAAAACAAGAAAACACTATAAGATTTTGAACTATTCCTATCAGGTTGACCTTTTAGGATGAAACCACAGGTCTTAAAAAGATGCATGCAAACATTTTAACATTCTTGATTGTTTGCTGATACACAGTTACACACATAGTACCTTTCTTTTACTCAACATTTTTTGTGTTGCTTCTGCTGCAGTTTTTGCTGGACCGGAATTCTTCAGTTCTGCAGCTCTTTGCTGTTGCTTTTCCTGCACATATTTCAAAGCTCAGTGCTACAGAGAATTATGCCTCTACTAGTATAGATGACAGACACATAAATTAGATTTCTCAAGTATGGAAATCCCTTGATGCATGGTGATAGAGTATATCTAGAGAGAAGTGAGAGCTAGAGAGAGAAGTGCAATAATATGCTTCAATAGAATGATTTCGTAACCCCCATAACTACTCCCAAAGGGAGTATTTATAGAGAAAATTAGGGTTGGGCTCCCAAGCCTTGGGCTTGGGAGGCCCATTTACAACTGGACCGCTACTGGGCCGAATACAAAGCCACTAATGGGCTGTACAAATGAGTAAGTATAAAATCCGATTCTGTGAGGTCTTCGTGGCCGACGAGGGCGTGGCCGACGAGGGCACGGCCGACGAGGGCACGGCCGACGAGGGCACCCGGGTTCTTTGGACTCAGGACCATAATCCGAGTTGGCCCCTTTTCGGCCGACGGGGGCGTCCTGGCCGACGAGGGCGCCACTCTGTGCATTGTGCTTTCTGTTCTTCCGAGTATGTGGGTCCGGGGGCTCAGACCCATATACTCCATCAGGAGTCCCCCACTCTCTAAGCTGAGACGTAGACGAAGTGAAGGAGAGTAGATTCCTGTGCTTTGTTGCCCTTGGCCGTTACCTGTTCCTCGTTGTGGACAGGAAGGCCGTTGTTTACTTGACGTCTTCGTTTTGGGACGATGAGTGTCCTTCTTTCAATGGTGGCCGTTGAAGGCATGTTTTGCTCGGGCGCTGATGGTTGAAGTTTGTATTTGGGCCGATGAGGCCACTGAAGTTGTTCCTTGCTTGGAGGACGATGGCGTCCTTTCCTTTGGGTGGCCGATGAGGGTGTTTGTGCGCTCCTTTTGGCCGTCGTTGATTAGCTTTCGTGTTCTTGGCCGAAGGGCCCGTCAAGATTAATTGTTGGCGGAGGACGATGAGTGTCCTTGCCTCTAGTGGCTTGTTGGCCGTTGCTGATGACGTTATGGGCCTTTGGCCGATGAAGTTCCGTTGTGCTGTATGGATGATGTGGCCATGCTTTTTGGTCACCTTGTTTGCATTTTCTTTCGTTTTGTTGAGGCCGGTGTAGTCCCCCAGTCCCCCACTGCTTCAGGCCGAAGAGTGTGAGGGGTGAAGGAGTTGCTTGAGTCCCTGGCCGAAGCGGTCTCGCCGTAGTCCCCCCTGAATCCAACTCTCATGGCGATTTTCTGGCCAAGGTAACCCTGTGGGAGAACCCTTGCGCGCAGATCGCTTGTAGAGAGTTATCATCAAGGGTCATGACGAGGAGCCGATGGCTTGTGGGCTCTTGGGTTCTTTGATCTTGTGGCCGTTATGTTCCTGGCCGTTGTCGTCTCCTTATTGTTTGGCAGTTGTGATCTTGGCGAGCAAGTGGGACGTTGTGGGCGCTTGCTGGCAGTTGTAAAGCCGCTGAGCGTGTGTAGGCCGTAGAGTCCGTCTTGCCAGTGGGCTGTTGATTTTGAGTTTGGCCCGTTGGTGACGTGGTGGTCCCCCATTGGTGGCCGTTGGTGTGGCCATTGGGGAGGTGCCACGTGTAGTGACCGTTGGGTGGGGGGTTCTATAAATACCCCTCACCCTTCGACGAGAAAATGTATTTGCATTCTGAATTTGTCGAAGTGCTGGCCGATTTTCTAGAGAGATAAACTCCCAAGCCTGTTCTTCGTGTTCTTCGTTGTTCGAGGTTAGTGTTCATCACGATCTTCCTCGCTTTTCATACTTTGCTTCCTAGGTAGTTGATCTAGTGTTAGGCGTTTGAACACCTTTAGATCTTAAGTTGTTCTCCTTAAGCCCGTAGTAGTAGTAATGAAGAGCTTGAACGAGGACTACTACCCCTACGACGACCAGCCCTCCACGAGGTCGCTTGACTACGAGGTGCTCGAGGAGTTTGAAGAGGAGATAGAGCGTTTAAGCCCCTACAAATCCGGAGAGCTGATGGACGAGGAAGGCGAGGACGAGGAGTCCGCCTCCTCTTCAGAGGGTGAGGACGTAGGCGCGTCCCGAGTGGTGGACGGGGCGTCCACTTCTGCTGCCGTTCCGTGCCCGAGGCCGGTGTCTGACGTGAAGGGAGCAGCTAAGCCGAAGAGGGTGAGGAGGCCGAAGAATGGGCCGGGCCTCTCCACCTGGACCTCACCAACATATTCCTGATCAAGCCGGAGAGCAGTGCGGCCGACTATCTTGTCGCCCAGATGTACGTGGGGCCGTTCGGGCGGGTTAGGGCACCCAGGCCGACAGACCATGTTCTACTTCCGCCACCGGGATACTTTGGAGTATACCCGATGAGTTTTGCTAAGGGGTTGAGGTTCCCCCTTCACCCTTTCGTCATTGAGTATCTGGACATGGTGGGGCTTCCTCCGGCCTTGCTGACGCCGAACAGTTATTCCTTGATGGTGGGCTTTTTACTTCGGTGTGAGGAGTTGGGCTTCAGGCCGACCACGGCCTTATTCATGAACTTGTACCAGATCGGCCGAGGAAGCCACAAGAACTGTGCGGCCTATGCTACTCTTCAAAAGCTGCCGAGGAAGAGGAGCTTCACGGATTTGCCTACGTCCATTCATGGGTGGAAGAGCAAGTTCGTGTTTGTGTCCATTGGTGAGAGTGGCACCGAGTTCCCCTCTCTCGGCCATACCGGGAGGTTCAATCTCCATGACCCGCCGAAGAGCTCTATTTTGGACGCTCAGGTGGAGGCTTTCCTGGAAGGGGGGCCGAGGAGCGTGAAAGATTACGTTACTGAATACAAGATGACCGCCCTCGGCTTCTTCAGATATCACCTGTATGGAGATAAGGAGGATGACCTCCAACTCTGGCCGAGGATGACCACCACCTTTGAGGAGGCCGATGGCCCGGATTTGGGCATTCCTGCTGAGGCCGATGGTAATTTTTTCTTCGGCTTTCTGTCTTTATGTTTTGTCCTTTGCCTTACTAATCTGTTTGTTTTTCCTTTGTAGACTTTGTCATGGACCGACGTTCCATAATGGCTGTTGCCAAGGCCAAGGCGGCCGAGGAGCTGGCTGCTAAGGCGGCCGAGGCGGCCCGACATGCCGCTGCTGGTGGGAGCGGGGCTACTGCTGATGCGGCCCCAAAGCCTGCCCCATCAAAGAAAAAGAGACCGGCCACTGACGGCCAGAAAAAGTTGACTGAGGCCGGCCTGAGCGTCTCGAAGAAGACGAAGAGGGCTCCTTCCCCTTCTCCGGCTACTGAGGCCGGTACCCTGGCTGTCCCCATCGTGGACGATGGTGGTCCCGTCGTGGACCTTACTGTCGCTGACGATGCTGCCCCAGCGCTTCCTCTCGTCCAGGAACCACGGACGAAGAGGGCTGACAAGGAGATTGCCGGTGCCACCTACCAGAAGGTGGTAGAATACCCCGTCGGCGGGGGCGTGTTTAATGATCTCGTCCCTGGCCACGTCGTCTTGGCCCAGGCCATGCCGGCCAAAGATCGGGCTTATCTGAAGAAGCTTGGGGACGAGAAGATTTACGAGGGCGGCATGGACCTCTTCGTCCAAGTAAGTTACTGTCCTTATGTTTTGTTCCCTTTTCGTCTGTGTAGAGTCTTTTGCCTGATCTTTGTTTTCCTTCTGCAGAGTGCCTTCATGCTTATGGAAAGCCATAAGAGGCAGTACTGGGAGATAGCTCGCTTGAAAGGGCTGGAGCAGAAGGCTGCCTCGGCCGACGAGGCGCTAGCTTGCCTTGATCGGCTCCGGGAGGATGCCAAGGCGCTGCAGGCAAAAGCTGATGAAGCCGCCGCGGCCAGGGACGATGCCCTGGTCAAGCTCGAGGAGAGCAAAAGGGAGCTCGAGGAGTCCCAAAGGGCGCTTGAGGCCGAGAAGCGCAAGAGCGAGGAGGCCGTTAAGGCGAAAGCTGAGGCCGAGTCCGCCGCTGTGAGGGCTGCTGACGAGGCCGTTGAGAAGTTCCTGGCCGAGGGGTGGAAGGCCGATGAGAGGCTCCCCTGGTGCTACGAAGTGGTGGCCGCCAGGCTTGAGAATTGGGGGATGAACTCCCCCGCCGGCCGGGAGTATTTCAGCCGGGAGATGTCCGTTTATTACAACCTGGGCCAGGAGCGGATGCAAAGGCTCCTGTGTCGGCGGCTATCCCGGGCGTTGAAGGCCATGAATTACACGTCTGGGTGGGCTTGACGGAACCTGAAGCTGCCAAAGCTGATGAAGGATCCAGAAGAGCAGGCCAAGCTTCCGCTGTCGGAGCGAGAGTCCCCCATAGAAAGATCCGGCCTCGGCGAGCCGGACTACACTGAATTCGACTTCCTGGACGATGCCACCAGTGCTGCACCTGCTGCCGGCCAAGAAGCTGAGGACGATGAGGGAGCTGATGAGGCCGTTGAGACAGCCGCAGATGGAGGTGCCCCCGAAGCTTGATAGGCTACTCATTTGTCATTAGCTTTTCAATTTTTTGCCAAGTGATGTAACGGCCGAAGCGCCCCCCATTGTAATGAATTGATTAAATGAAAGAATTTTTGCCATCCTTCTCGGCTTTGAATCCATTGTATGCTTGTTTGCCTTTTGTCATTTCAATTCTGTAAATTGTCAGTGTCAAGTCATAACTTGGATCACCCGCGAGTGTCCGCTACGTCCGTAAGGTTGGCCTTCCTGTCCAGTAGTCTGGTCGGCCTATTCCTCTTTGCTTTACTATCATAACACTTAGGATTTTGTTTCAAAAATTTCCCAAGTGTTTTTGGGTCCATGTAGCTGCTGTCTTTACGGCCTAGTGGCTTGATCGGCCTGGACGTAGTTTCATAACACTTAGGAATTTTTTCAAAAATTTTCTAAGTGTTTTGGGATCCACTTAGGTGCTTTCCTTTCGGCCTGGTGGCCTTGTCGGCTTGACCGGTGGTTCTTGGCCACGTCCTTTTGCCCTTGATCGTGGTGTCCATGGGGTTTAGTCTCTCCCCATTATTGGCAAATGGTGGGGGTGATTTGCTAAGTGTTGAACCAGTGTCATTGTCGGCCTGCATCCCCGTGTTGTGGC